CAGAAATGTCTATCTTTGCTCAGCATCAGGTGCACAGCAGCAAGACGTTTTTCAGCAAACTATGACCTTATTCTAATGACAAATGTCTAATAATACTGCTAATTTATGTTTTCATACACAATGAATGTAAGCCTGCTGACTGAACAAATATGGAATGGATGGAAGATACACTGATTGAGGAATAAAAATAATTGTAATTAGTTATTCTGCCCAACAGTCACAAATATTAACATTGTACTGAAATCAATTCAGAAAATCTAGTTACACTAATGATTGTGTAGAAATTACATGAAAATAATTGACCTGTTTGTTTTTTTCTTGAAGATATAACTTTATATTTTTATTAACACTTTTGCTTAAAGATAGTACAAAAAATAACCAAAACCTGCACTCTCAGAAATAAAGGTACAGAAGCTGTCACTGGGGCACCAGTCAAAAGGTACCAATTTGTACCTGAAGGGTCAATAATGGTACCTCAAAGGTATTTTTTAGGTACAAGTGAGACTAATATGTACTTTTGAGGTATCACTGTGCAAGACTTGGGTACAAATATATATCTTTTGAAAAGGTACTGCCCCAGTGACAGCTCTGTACCTTTATTTATGAGAATGTGTATTTTTTGCTGACATAACTTTAACTGCACAATAATTCTAACTGGATTCTGATTTAATCCTCAATGAATGATTTTGAACAGTCTAGATGTGTTTTAATGTATTATTTCTCATTTGTTCATTGTCAAATGTCAGCACACACATTGTTAAGATAACAATTATGACATTATTATACATTATAAATATTACACACCCCATACCGAAGGAACCCTCAAAATGCTATTTCGAATGTAAGGCAGTTTCTATTTCCATGTATTTGTATATGATCTGTCATTATACAGGCATATTTATATCTCCATCAGTGACATCGATGAGCCAGTAATGTAATCGTCCCCATCAGCGTTTAGAGGGACAAGTAGAAACACATGTCCTTTAGTGGGTCAACAGCACTGTGAGCTTGTGTGTGTGTGTGTGTGTGTGTGTGTGTGTGTGTGTGTGTGTGTGTGTGTGCGCGTTTGTGTGCAGTGGTTGGGTGGTTTATGAATACACAAATTTGTAAAATGGCATGAGTATCACCTAAGTGTTACAATAATAAGGACATATCCTGTGTCCTCATAGTTTAAACACATACGATTAAACTTAATATAGTCTTTTGATTTTTAACATTTGCCCCACATTTGTTGTGAGTGTTGGGTTTAGGAGTAGTGTTAACGTATGGCAATGTAATAAGCATTTTTTTACACTATACAACACTTTATGCCAATGGAGAGGGGGGTCATAAACCACCAAAACTAACAGTATGTGTGTGTGTGTCTAAGTGGCAGTACAGGGTTTAGACTGTGGGACTGTAGAGGAAGGTATTCAGACAATGTCCATGTGGTTCATTAGGGACTGAGATCAAACGCCACTGCCCTCTTTAGCCCCACTGACAGGAGACAGAGGATCTGTCCTCTCCTCACCAGCTGGAGAACGACACTAACACGAGGGATGAGTGAGCGACTTAAGGAGGAAAATGAAAGGAGGAACAGAGATGGAAGAAGGGGGCTGTTATATGAGAAATCCTTAACAGACTGGATAAAATCCACATCTAAACTAAAAAGGAAAAAAAAATTAAGCAAAACAAATAAAGAAAAAATCAAACAAACAAAATACAACATTTTTCTAAAATTGTTCGTGACAAACTATAGATTACATAGCAAGAACAGGTATAGTGTAACGTATATTATAACGTTTGGACACTTTTTAAATGATATTAAAATATATATTTTTATGACAATGATATTTAGTGTGATATAATAATAATAATAATAATAATAATAATAATAGCAACAACAACAACAACAACATTATTAATATTATTATTATTATATCAATAAAAGTTAAAATATTTAAATAAAAACAAACAAAAATGTGCAAACATTTTGGTTTCATGAGAAAAAATGAAACCAAATTACTAATACTTTAAATTAAAATGAAAACTAAAAACTTCTGAACAAACTAATAAAATTATTATGACATATAATATTCTATATTATTTACTGTATGTATATATATATATATTTATATACAGTTATATACAGTTTTATAACACAATCCTACAGTTTCCCTAAAAATAAAAAATAACACTGCACGCTTTAATTTTGCCCCAAAGCTCATGGCCTATTTATTCACAGAGAGCCTGCAAAATGTTAACTCTGATATCACAAAGACACGGATATCACTTCCTGTCAAATGAGCCACTAAATCACTAACAATTTGAGTTAACTATATGCATCTGTTGTTGCCGGTTCATTCTGCTGTGGTGACCCCTTATAAATCAGGAACTAAGCCGAAGAAAGTGAGTCTACTGTATGTATCTGTGATAAACTGTTTAGTTATTTAAATATAGCTTATACTAAAAGTAATAAAACAAATAAAAGTGAATGGCAATAACTAAATCAATATAAGCAACACTACATGTATTACTGCTGTCTGTATCATACAAATCTAAATGATACTAAAACACTGCCATGTGGTGCAGGTCAGATGAGATTACATTGTAACCACTGGGCCACCAACTCTACATTTCCCTGATTCCTCTAGATTGGCTTTGGTTTGATGCCACATTCGTTGACCCCCTGCTCTAATTTGATGTGTTTAAGGTGTAATGGATCGGGAGGAGGCTCACGGGTCATGAATACTGATGGCCCAGCTTTGATACAGAGGACTGCTAACAGCACAAGGTCAGTCGTGAGCGTGAGCAGGACCAGCCAGCCATAATTACTCTCTTTTTTTTTTTTTTTTTTTACACTATTAAGTGGTGTTGCTGGAGCGGGGCTCTGGGGTATAGGACACGCACAACAAGATAAAGTAATGTTTATTTATCCCTCCCAAAGGATCCATTTACTTGGCCTGCCTCTCCTTAAGAACCGCCACATGGAGAGAGAAATAAACACCCAACTGGGTCCACAACTAGGCTCTTTTCACTGAGAAAACCCAACACAAACACATGGAGGGACTGAATATATAGTATGCAATTGCTGAACTGAAGAAGTCTGTGATGAATGGATTAAATAACCATATATTTTAGCTAAGAATATTGGAGCAGTATGTTTATGTTGGTGGCAACACGGTGGTGCAGTGGGTAGCGCTGTCACCTCACAGCAAGAAGGTCGCTAGTTGGGTCAGTTGGCATTTCTGTGTGGAGTTTGCATGTTCTCCATGTGTTCGCGTTGGTTTTTTCCGGGTGCTCTGGTTTCCCCCACAGTCCAAAGACATGTGCTGTAGGTGAATTAGGTAAGCTAAATTGTCCGTAGTGTATGTCCTGGTTCTCCAGGTTGGGGGTTAAGCGTCAGGCTAACAACCAACCTCATCAAAAAGTACATGTTATGAAACACCAATATGGTGCTGCTAAATATCAACTTCAATATTAAAGGCAGTAAGTAAGTATGTTTATGTTTTTTTTAATAATAATTATGTTGTTTATGTTGGTAATAAAATAAAAGGTCACCTTTAAGCATGTTTAAGAATGTAAAGTATTTTTAGTTAAACAGAATATTTAAAATATCTGAATTAGACAGACAATTTGGGAATTGAGTAAATTGTAAAAAATGGGAGATCATTCATTCATTCATTTTCTTGTCGGCTTTGTCCCTTTATTAATCCGGGATTGCCACAGCGGAATGAACCGCCAACTTATCCAGCAAGTTTTTACGCAGCGGATGCCCTTCCAGCCACAACCCATCTCTGGGAAAAAAATGGGAGATCAATGTATCATAATTGATTTAACAGTGCTTAAATACCAGTTAAAGCAATAGTTCACCTCAAAATATGAAAATTGCCTATTATTTTTATTTTAACCAGGCCATCCAAGTTGTATTTAACCTTTATTCAAACTATGATCCCTGTATATCCTTAAATAAAATGTCAATAGCTATGTTTCCACCCACTTTTAAAAAAAAAGCTTAATGGAAATGCCAAGATGTGCATACATTTTAAAAATGTGCATTAAAATCTAAGTAGGATAAACTATTGTTATCAGCCAAGAACAAATGTGCATAAACTACAATAGAAACACATTTAGCAAATGAATTCCAGCATGCGCATTAAAAAAGTCATGTGATTTTGTTTTACTAGATCATGTGATAACAAAAAAGGGACAGCAAACTAGTGGACCTACCACATTGTAAAACATCTGAAAGGTTATTTCGGTCATTCTAAAATCTGTTAACCAAAGTGGTTTGGTATTATTATTACCCTGCTAAGATCATTCTCGCATCTCAAAAAGCCACATGCATTCATTGAGTTTTGTCTTCATCTTATAAGGCACAAATAATTAATTATATAAGAAAAAAGGCACTTTAGCAGTTTATCAGGAAGGGACAATTTGTTCTCTGTAGTGTTGTAAATTCAAACCTTTCAATTGAAAATAAGCAGAAATTCAAACCGTTTCCCTGATGAGGTTTGACGGATGCCAAATTAGCTAAATAAATTACTAAATGGCCAAATAATCCCTGCCATGATCATAACTTCATTCACCACCGGGAGGCGGTATAATTACTCTCATAGTAGAATTTTGCTTTTACAATCCAAAATAAATAATTCAACATAAAAAAGCTGCAGCCTTTGAGAGTGTGAACTGTGAAGTGTCCAACATTCTACACTTCATTTTACCCGTTGAATAAGTGCATCATCTGGGTATTTAAAGTGCGCTTATTCTTATTAGAGCTTTTAGTGTGAATGCCCTATACACTACTTATACTACAAAATGGTGTAAAACAGTGCATAAGTATGCAATTTGGGACACACCTATGGACTCATTGGATGGAAACAACAGTTTCTTCAAAAGACGCTCTTTGGAATAACGCACTAATGAATGGTTGACAATTCTCAAAATTAGTATTAAATTAGATCAATACTGACTTTGCGTTAAACAATAGCACAATAGTTACGTCATGTAAGAGAGCTGACCTTTGGTAAGCGCTCAGGGTCGCCCGGGTGTCTAGGGATCACCTTCTGTAGCCGCTGGAAACCGTAGTCAATAGTGGGTTCATTCAGTGCTGCAGGAAAGAGAAAATTCAAGCATGTTACCGCAGGGAAATTCAACACCCATCTGCAATTACCATTACAAAGAAATGTATATAAAACATAAGTGTCATTTCCTTCAGACCTCAGTGCAGTTCCAAAAAACACAAAGCAGAAAGCAATAAAATGATAACTAAAGTATCGAATATTATGTTTCCTAACTAGCTGCCAAAATATCTGTCTCAATTCCCACTATGCTTTAGCAGTTTGCAACCACAAGGCACCGCTTTATGAATAAAACAACACTTGAGCAGTTTGTGTGAATGGATCCTGTCTATTTTTGCAGCCGGTGCAAAGGCACAACCTTCATGGACAGCTTCGCAAAGTGGTTGTGAGCAATGAGATTTGTGAAAGATTCAACTCCGATGCAAACGCTGTAGTTTAACTGTAATCAAACCCTCGCTTGTGTGTCAGGCAAAATAAACCAGGTTCAGTACACGCTACATTCAACTGACAGCGTTTGTGGTGCAATCTTGAATAACGTAAATCATTAGTATTAATTATTACTGTTATTAACACTTGTGATTATATAGGCCTTTCTTCTAATTTTAATAGTATTTACTTTTAAATCCCATCATATTAAGTTTAAATCTTGCAATTCTGACTATGACAAATCACAATCCTTTTTTTTGTATTTTTATACTTTATACTATATATATATATATATATATATATATATATATATATATATATATATATATATATATATATATATATATATATATATATATATATATATATATATACATACACACACACACAAATATATATGTGTATATAACCGGCCACTTTATTAGGTACACCTGTCCAACTGCTTTTTAACGCAAATTTCTAATCACATGGTAGCAACTCAATGCATTTAGGCATGTAGACATGGTGAAGATGATCAGCTGCAGTTCAAACCGAGCATCAGAATGGGTAAAAATGTGATTTAAGGGACTTTAAACGTGGTATGGTTGCTGGTGTCAGACGGGCTGGTCTAAGTCTTCAGAAACTGCTGAATCTACTGGGATTTTCACACACAACCATCTCTAGGATTTACAGAAAATGGTCCGAAAAAGAGAAAATATCCAGTGATTGACAGTTCTGTGAGCACAAATGACTTGTTGATGCCAAAGGTCAGAGGAGAATGGCCAGAAAAAAAATGAGCTGATAGAAAGGCAACAGAAACTCAAATAACCACTTGTTACTACTAAGGTATGCAGAAGAGCATCTCTGACGCACAACACATCAAACCTTGAGTCGGATGGGCTACAGCAGCAGAAGACCACACTGGGTGCAACTCCTGTCAGCTGAGAACAGGAAACTGAGGCTAAAGTTTGCACATGCTCACCAAAATTGGACAATGGAAGAATGGAAAAACCTTGCCTGGTCTGATGAGTCTCGATTTCTGCTGTGATATTCAGATGGTAGTCAGAACTTTGCATCAACAACATGAAAGCATGGATCCATCCTGCCTTGTATCAATGGTTCAGGCTGTTGGTGGTGGTAGTGTAATGGTGTGGGGGATATTTTCTTGGCACACTTTAGGCCAATTAGTACCAACTGAGCATCATGTTAATGCCACGGCCTACCTGAGTATTGTTTCCGAACATATTCATCCCTTTATGACCACAGTGTACCAATCTTCTGATTGTTATTCCAGCAGGATAACACACCAATAAAGCGTGAATCATCTCATACTGGTTTCTTGAACATGATCTAACCTGGTACTAGTAAGGTGTACCTAATAAAGTGGCCGGTGATGGTCATTTTTTTAACGGAGCAAGGATATTTTAACAGTATGTCCTATAAAATTTTTTCTTCCGGAGAAAGTCTAATCTGTTTTAGTTTGACTCTAACAAAGGCAGTTTTTTAAAAAATGTTTAAGGTCAATATTATTAGCCTCTTCAATGATTTATTATTTTGTGATTGGCTACAGAACAATTGTTCAAAATAATGTTAAACCCAATTCCTTCAAAAACATACACATAAAGCATCAGCAAAACATAATTTTGAAGCAATTTCTAACAGAGACTGACACAGATCTCGTGATGACCAGAAGCAGCCAATTCATTTAATCTACAATCACGATTAAGATCAACACAAAACCAAAGGCGCCTTTTCAAATTTGCTCTGTCCTCAAACAAACTCCAACAACAAACAATGCAGGATTCAACCTCGTCCTCTGTTATGTATACATAAGCAGCACTTAATCTGTAAAACAAATCTATAGAGCTCTGTTATGAGCAAATAATTCAATTAAAGTTTTCATTTCTGCAGAGCGGCACCTCCCACTCCTCGGAGGCCCAGAGACAGCTTCACGAACGCTCGCAATAAGATAATATTGAAAAAGCAACCCGATCTGTGTGATAGGCCCAAACATCCTGCACGGGTGGACCACATGGTGCTTGGCCTGATGTTTTTCTAACCTCCCAGGCCTGAGTGGGACTTTCACACTGAGACAATGGGTCTTTCTGCAGCACCAGCCCACTGAGCTTGTTTGTGTGTTTATCTGTTGTGGTGCTAAACTCCAGCCCTCAGGGGCACATTCACATACAGAGCCCTTCTGTGGTTCGCTGAGAGAGAGTAAGAGATATACAGAGAGATATACGCACGTCAGCCCAGACGCCTGCTATTTGATATGCAGCATACAGTATAGTGGCCCCAAAAGTATTTGGTTATTTAAGATACTGTATGGTTAAAAATGTATGAATATCTATGCATTAAATAACAAATATTAAAACCACATCCTGTCAAAATAATTTAGACCTTATATCATGAATGCTATTTCCCTAGGGTCATTTTTAAGGCGATTTGAATAAGTATGTATTGTTGTTATATATACAGTATATTATTACATATACAATGAATTTAAGAACTGCAATACTAAAATTGTTAGTTAAGCAAAAACAAAACAAATAAATAAATAAATAAATAAATAAATAAATAAATAAATAAATAAAAATTTAATATATAATTAAAAATAAAAATGAAAATGTAATAAACATGTAAAAAATAAAATAAAAAATAAAAAATATCTAAAAATAAAAATAAATACATAAATAAATAATAAAATATAATTAAATATAATTTAATTAAATTTAAATTTAATAAACATGTATAAAAATAAATAAAATAAAACAAGAAATAAATTAAATTATATAATTAAATTAAATACAAAAGAAATGTAAAAATGTATAAAATAAAATAAAAAATAATAAAATCTAAAAATAAATGAATAAAAAATATAATTAAGATAAATTAAATAAAAATGAAAATGTAATAAAAATGTATAACAATAAAATACAAAATAAAATAAAATACAAAATATAATAATAAATAAATAGATAAATAATAAAATAAATAAAACTATAATTAAATACAAATAAATATGTAATAAACATGTATAAAATAAAATACAATATAAAATATACAAATAAATAAATAAATGTATAATCAATATAAATAAATAATAAAATAAAAATATGATTAAATTAAATCAAATAAAAATAAAAATTTAATAAAAAGGTATCAAATAAAATATAGAATAAAATAAAACATTAAATATAAAATTAAATAATAAATACATCAATAAACATTAAGATAAAATATAGTTAAATTAAATAAAATAAAGATGAAAATAAAAATGGAATAAACATGTATAAAATAAAATAAAATAGATCAATTCTTTGAGGGACTGACACCAAGCTTATTGATTGTCATTTTAAAAATTAAATAATAAACTTTTTGTACATTTTTTATTCTCATAAAAATATGTGCAATATATGACAATTAAAAGGTCACTAAAATGGTAGTTTGTTTATAAATAAGGCCCATATTTCAGACTGCATTCACACTGACACTGACTATTATACAGATAGAAGCAATAGTTGAATATAAAATATCCCTTGTAAGAAGGAGGCCAAAATTTGACTAATATTCAACCACTGTAATAAAATAATTTGGGTATGCAACATTAGATACCCAAGAGTCTAACAACAGTTGTTCACTCTTTACACACACACTTCCCCCTCTCTTCTTCGCTCTCAATAGACTGACCGCTTTTCTTTAGCCTGAAGCGTCAAATCTCGAACACAACAGAGGAGGGGCAGCAAAAAATAGCAATTGAGAACTTGCGTCCCCTGGCCCTCAGTTAATTGTCCTTCTTAAGATAGGGGTAAGAAAAAAAGCCCCTCTCTCTTCCGGCCTCCCTTCTGTTTGCCCTGTAGGCCGCAGCCTGGACGTTTCCTGAGGGAGTTCGCCCAGCGCCCCTCAGCTCCACAGCTGAGAGGACAGACTGTGGGCAGCCTCTGAGTGCAGTGGAGTGGATTCAGATGGCCACAGGCCCAGACAGAACCAGACCCCTGGAGCCCAAAACACAAGCTGTGCCCAGCCTGGCCCTCCTCCACCAAGGGAACAGGGGCAGCTCTGACTGTACATCAATGCCTCTCGATACAACATCCAGCAGCAGGTGGGATTTACAGCTTTATAGGAACATACAAACTCTGGTCTGGTTTCCACATGAAGCCAGAATCATGCATTGAAAAGAAAGACGTTACTTGTGAAGAGGTAGGCACCAATCCCAACCAATGCATGTTTACTTTTACAATAAGACATAACTTTATTAAACAAGAGGTTGACATTGGCTAATAACAGCAAACTTCATGCAGGGCTCAATGACTCTCTGATTGAGATCTAGAATTAATATGCATTTACTGTATTTGATCAAAGAAATAAAATAAAAAGAGAAATGTTGTGACGTATTTTTACATTTGAAAACAACAATTAATAGTTTAAATATGCACTCTAAAAGGATGGGTTGACTCAACATTGGGTCAAATATGAACTATCTTGGTTCAGTTTTTCAGTTAAACGTAAATGACACTTGGGTTTGTTCATATTTGAATCTATATCCATCCATCCATCCATCCATTCATCATCCATCTATATAGGCATCCATCAGTCCGTCCATCCATCTATCTATATCCATCCA